TGCTGTACAGATTTGGCCTCCAATAGTTGTGCTGGCAGACTGTTCCATACAATCACCACTGTCCGTTCAAAGCACTAGTGGTGGGGTACTCGTTTGCTATTCAGCATCATAAGCTTGTACCGATGTCCGCGTGTGTTACTTGGCCTTCGCATGTGTAGCAGCGGCGTCAGCATGGGCAAATCACCGAGATGTCCTATTCGGTAGCTCATGATGAGATCGAGTCGCACCCGACAATAGAACAATGTGTAGAATCGTAGTTTCTTGCACCGATCTTCCTGCGATATTTCTCATTAAGTTTGTAATGAGCCTGATGGAGACTTATTGGACCCGTTCGATCTTCTGTGCCTTGTCTCCGGGTGATAGGGCAGTAGGCAAGTAAGCCCTACTCCACTATTGGTCTTATGATCAAGGTGCAGAGGCAAGTGACGACCCTTTCAACCCAAGTAGAGAGGCTGCGTTTGACCATTACAATGTAGTCTGTTCGTGTTGTCAACGGACTTCAAATCGCAGCGCGAGAGTACAGCCAGGTCCTTCGAGCGTGGTGTGGGACGTAGCGGTTGGCTGTCAGTAGTGTAAATTCGGCCCTCGCCAACCTTCTCCATGCTCATAACTACCGGCTTGGATGCTTTGACCCGGACGCGGTCTTCCGCAGACCACATTGAGCGGCGGATGAGACCTAACTTACGTAGGCTGCAGTCGCCTGGGGTGCGAATCACTCTGAACCTTCAGGTCATTCGCAAACATAGCACACGGCGACCGAAGAAGTTGAGGTAGATCGTGGATGTAAATTAGGAACAGAGTGGGCCACATCAGCGTGCCTTGGGATACTGCACTAGTAGAGGGATACCACTTAGTTTGACGAGCCTGATTCTTTGGCAGTTTTGAGCTTCCGCACCTTGGGATTGTATCAGAAAACTGTCTACAATTGTTCACGGCGATTGCTTCCATATGCTTTTATGCGATAAGGGACTGGCAGGACATCATCTTCATCATTACACGTTAGCTGATCGTGAGAAACACACTTCAGCTAATGTGCCGCAATACAAAAAGATAAAAGACTAAAAAATTACACTGCAAGTTAGACAAATAACACTACAAAAATATTCTGTTAAATAATATTTATTCGTTTTACATGAGATCGGGATTGGAGGGAGACTCTAAACGGAGGGGATGGAGGAAGAAACTCACAACACACCACTGGGGCCGGCTCCAAGCCAAATCAGCAAGTGTGTCCAACCAAACGTATTCATCGTCAATAGAATCCCAGCCAGAGAGTCGGGATGCATTAACCGACACCAACTTCAAAGTGGGGGTTTTCATTTATCTCGACCAAGTCATCGCTTGGCCACCCCTCCTTCTCTTCCAACCGCACTCCCGGCGCGAAAACAATGCAGGTCGCGGGAGTCGGTATGCTGGCATACGCATCAGGTGGCCAAACCATCGGAGCCTGGTGCGTGATATAATGTTGCTGAGCGGTTCACTCGCTCTTCCTGCAACAAATACGCGACGCCGAACACGATCATCGCTCACGCGGTGCTCCCACCAGACATGAGCTAAGCTGCGAAGGCAGCGATAATCGAATGTGACGATCCTCTTTATGTCTGTCGACCTGATGGGCCAGATTTCACAACCATATAGGAGAGCTGAACGGACGGCTGCGTTATAAACTCTGCCCTTCAGGGCGAATGTCGCGTCTGCGCCACAGGTAGCAGAGATTGACAAAAGCAACTAGAACTTTTGCTATACAGTTCGTAACCTCATCATCGGTCCCACCGGCGCTACTAAAGGTGCCCAGGTATATGAATACCTGAACGACTTCTAGCTGATCCCCACTAAGGGTCAACGAGGGGTGGGTTCCTGCCAATCTTGCAGAAGTACTTTACATTTCGATGGAACAAAGCATATCCCGAAACGATTGACAGCCAGTGCTAATCGGTCCAGAGCTGCATGGCATGTTTGGGAGCTGTCACAGATCAGGGCAATGTCCGCATACTCCAAGTCAAAAAGTCGTTCACTAGAAAGTAGCTCCACACCTTCTAGGTCTTGTCCTGCGAATGCTGTTTTCATGACTTCATCAAGGGCGAAGTTAAATAGAAAAAGTGACAGCGAGAAACTTTGTCTCACATCGCTGGTGATACTGAAGGGCGGCGACAGTTTGCCATAAACACTCACTCTGCCCGAACTATGCGCGTACAGCGCTTTGATAATGTTTACGTACTTATCAGACACACCTTTTCTCAGCAGACAATCCCAAAGAGCACACCGATCAACTGAGTCGAAGACACATTTTACGTCAAGAAACACAACGTGAGTCGCCAATAAACATGAAGGTGCGTCAACCATTGACGCAAGGTGAAGAGGTGGTCGATGCAGCTCCCATCTCCATTAAACCCTGCTTTCTCTCCACTGATCAGGCTTACACGAGTGCCAGTCAGTCTGTGGAGAATGACCGAGGCAAGCAATTTAGAAGCAATTGAGATCAGACTGATCCCTCTATGATTGCCGCATTCCTAACGGGAGCCTCTCATACAAATTGGGACAATGACGGAGCGGCTCAAGACTGTCAGGAAAATTTCCTACTCTAAACGTTACACCAGCAACTCATGTAAATCAGCTGTTAGAGCATTGCCCTTAAATTTGATAAGGGCTGGAGAACTCTATCTGCCCCTGGGGCCTTACGCAATTTCAACAGCATTATCTCCCGCTGGACTTCTGAGAGAAATGGCGGATCCAAGGTGACGACCCAGCGAGAAGGCTGCTCAATGCCCGAAAAAGAGAGCGAAAACAGATTGGTTAAACTGCTAAGCAACGTGTTTGGCCCAATGCTCCAAGCGTTTTGGCAAGCGTTGGATCGGCTGCCCACTCTCGTCGCGAATGGTCTCGCTAACACCAGGTCTACTGCTGCCTGTTTATTGTATCAGACGGAATAACTTACGATGATTACCAACGGCAGCGGCTGTTTCGTCTGCGAGGCACGATGAGACCATCAAACTTAGCGATCTTTCTTCAGGCTGGTACGCAGATTTGCCCTGCGATTTTTACGAGTCACATTGTATTCGCTTCCAGCCGGAATACGCCGGCGAGCATCTATAAGTTCCAGAGACCTTCTAGAGACCCAAGATCCAGTTTGACAGTTTGATTTGCCACATGAAGACATGCCTGCTGATATTAATATTTGGAGAATATGCATCCAGTGCTTTTCAACGGTGCTACAGTTTGTAGGAGCCTAGGCCGCAATAACAAACAGGCACCGTTTGTTCTAGCGCGACTTTGGCGCACATTCGACTGTTAACCTGGATCCAATCGATCAGGGCAGCTTCAACCCGGGGACTCAAAACAATGCCGACGCCAGCTTGACCGGCATTTGAGGCAGCATCTTCGCCAGACAGGCGCAATAAGAATGTGCCGCCAGTGTCGCAGGTGGGGGATTGCGGGGTAAGCACGAAGCTCGAATCTTGCAGGCGGGTCTCTGATAAAAAGCAAATATCGATCGATAGGGTCTCTAGTGTGCGTGTAAGTGTTGCCTGTTGGCCAATCTGTAGCAAAGCGCGCAGGTTGTGGCTTGCCAGTCTTAGCCAGACTCTAGGACTCCAAAGGGAAACTGATGAACTGAGGTTGTCCGCTAGGTTGCACATTGACTTGTCGACTGGATTGGAGCGATGCCGTGCATTTGTGTGTGAGTTGAAACTAGAACACAAACGACTATTAAAACAAGGTGTGGTAGAGCCAATAATTGGGGATTGCAAATGTGGAGGACCAAATTAAACTTGGAGCAGGGCGATAAGGATGAAAAAGCGCAAGAAGATGGAAAAGAAGACGGGAAGGTCTGAGCCGTAGCATCCAAACCCCTATACACCTTGCTCGATGCAGCAGATAGGGCCCCGTTGATTATCCTCTTCGACGGCCAGAGCAACAAGAAATTGGTTGACGAATGATTCATAGTATTGCGTGGACAGAATACTGTCAGACTGTCCAGGCCTGGACAGGAGAATGATCCGTGTTCTCAACCAAAGCCTTTGGTTCAAAAAGCTTACGACAGTGCAGTGCGGTTTTGGCAATTGACTACAGAGCCGGTTATATGGAGTAAGGAGCTACCCTCACTCCAACCCCAACCTGCAGGGCCAGGAGAGTGAGTTTGTCTGACCACTAGCCATTGACCAATCTGCTATGAGTGTCTCTGAAGGTGCAAAAGAGCACAACTTTGCATAGGTCAGTGGATCTCTGAGGCACACAAACCATTGCACCACGTTAAGGTCCAGTCTCGTTGCGATGGAACCAGCAGGGCATCGCGTGACGTAATAGAATGTGTCAACTGAATACCACAGTTTGTTTAGCGTATGGTGGGCTCATTATTTGTCTGGTTGTCATCATCATCATCATCATACACGTTAGCTAGAGGTAGGGAACACCTCAGCTACTGTGCCGCAATACATAGAAAAAAGGAGAAAAAAGCAACTGGTTCAAATTGGCTGAGCTACCGGTAACGGATGGGCATCGTTCCGGTAAGCTACCAGTCGGCTGCTGTGCACCCAAAAAGAAAAAATAATATTATGCAAGATTATATAAGGCTAAATAATGAGATCGTGGTTGGAGGGGGAGGCTAAGAGGGATGGGGTGGGACAAAGAAATTACAAAAACCCAATGACCTGATCTTAGAAGAAGTTAAAAAGACAACGGCATAAGAGAATTAACAAAATGGAAGCTAGAGGGCGATAATCTGCACGGCTAAAGACACTTAAGTGTAGACGCTCTTTATTCATAAGACCGTTTCTACGGGAATCCAAGATAATATTCGCGAGTGATTCCGTTCGGCCTGCAAACCGTTAACTGAATGAAGCAGATTGTTTGTTTGGTTGACAGAGCTCATGCAAACAAGCAACAACGGAGTACCAAAGCCTGCGGTAAATTATCTCATTTGACGATTATTCCATACAAATGTTTGCTTCCAAACGCGTCCATTAAAGATAGCTACTGCATCTCTTTTCTTACGTCACTTTCAGCATCCGATACAGTGACTTCGACTGCACCGAGCACACATTTGAGAGATGAGTCAATCACAGGTGATCTGCAACTGAACTATAGCGAATTACGGTCACCATCTGTTGAAAAAGCTGCGCATTATCTGGACGCCGCTTTGGCCGCTCGTAATAAAGGTGCCGTGGCAAACCAAGCGGAAAAGGGAGAAAATTTGGTAGCGTCTGCCGGATCGGAGACACCACAGGAGGTGTGTTCAGCTGTCATCCCGGCTTCGACGTCACACCTATTTCTGACGTTACATGTATACCAATATCGAATCGAAGAGCGTGGATCAGGGTCCGGAGGTAGGTATTACTTTTCTCTCACCAAAATTGCCAACGCATCAACACTTGACCAGGGGAATGAAATACTTGAAACATAGCGGATTTACATTTACTGCAGTGTTTTGCTAACCTTAGCATGCTTTCTCCACTGGTGTACAGATATTGCTTCGTTGGAATCATCTGATGAGTTGAGACTCTTGGCCACTTTCGATGACTCAGGTAGAATACGTTGTATACGTTTAAACCAATTGTTACCGAGGCTGCACAGTTTTGGTTCTCTAAAACTTGACACTACAGCCTATATTGGTACATTTCTCTAATATGATTAAACCTGCAGACCATTTGTCTTCATAATAATTTCTCTTATCATATACTGTCGACACTCATTTAGAAGGACCTGTGATTGCCCCGGTGTAACAAGGTTAACGAACGCCGTAGGCCGGTTATACATTCGGCCAGGGGAGTTTAACAGTGAGATATAGGAAGTTCCATGGCCTAAACTAACAGTAGCCCGTCACCAAGGAAATCATTTGAAGCAGAAATACTGAAGTTCTTGTAAGCGAACAACAGTATCTAACCACTTCTAACCATTCGGATAAGATATCCATCTACTTTTATTCACATATGTGCATAAGTGAGGTAGAAAGCGACACTGGACGGAAGAAAACTCAAAAGTTTATCATAAATACGGGAGACGATTTAACGGCTATGTAAATTAGTTCCAAAACGGCAAGGAAATGCACTCTATTTGACAAGTTTGGGATAATGATCTTCCTGTGGGTTGGTTTTCCAGTTTAGTTGAGCAACAGCAGTGTTATCCGCAACTTCATTCTTCATCTTTCCATGGGAGTTACACGGCACTCAGTATTCGTATACCTTATCAAAAGCAGCAACACCAACTAGGTTTTATGTTGATAACGTCATTCACTACTCCAAAAAGCTGCATCAAAAAGAGCTAGTAGGAAATTGCCATGAATACAATCATGATCAAGAGGAGTGCGACCCGTGAACTTTGGGACGATCAGCAAACTCTACTGTTAAACAATAATTATAAAGGTTTCGTTCAGGGAATAACTAAACATAAAGTGTTCAAAACTTAAAATGTGTACCTTCTTATATTCTGGGGGTTTCTCACCTAATTATAGAAATCTGAGGTCAACTAGACCTGATCATGAGTTGATAAATAGGTTATTCTATTCCTCATCACTATTTGCACTTGCTTACCGTGAGTGCTTTATTATACGAGGTGGTTTCAGGAGGTTTTAGCTTTTGTGTTGCTTTGCAAAATGAAAGTAGCGACACTCACGCGAAATGGAAGCATCAAACTTTCAGAAAACAACAGTAACAGTAAAGCATTTAACTTTTCGGATGCTCTGAACCTCTTGCCTATAAGGCTGTAAGATTCTATACTACTTGCCCATTTGGTGTAAACAGTGTAAGCAACGAATAAGCAACTGTGGCCGCGAATTGCCCAGTGTTCGCCAAACACGGTAAACATCACCACATGGAAGTTCGAGCCATGAGACGATTTTTCTTTGAAACGCTGAAGATCATCATGTAGTATTCTTCCACATACTGCAAAATTCGTTACACCTGACACAAATAAGTTTACATGCGAGCAACTAGAGTTGTTTCCATGGCAGAGGCTGGACTTTAACGTGGTGCGATGGTTTGCCTGCTTCAGAGATTTAATGAGTTGTGCTAGGTTGTGCTTCTTTGCACCTTCAGAGCCACTCATAGCAGATTGGCCAAGGGTTAGAGGCCAGAAAATCTCAGCCCCCTGGCACTCCAGTTTGGGGGTTGGAAACAGGGTAACACCTTATTCCTTAAAACCGACTCCTTGTGGCCCAACGCATTGTTGTTAGCTTTTTGAATCATGAGCTTTGCTTGAGAACCCTGTCTAGGCTTGTGCAGGCTGACAGTATTCTGCCCACGCAATAATATGAATCATCCGTCAACCAATTGCTTGTTGTTCTGGCCGTCGCAGAGGATAATCAACGGAGCCCTATCGGCTGCATGGAGCAAGGTGTATAGGGGTTTGGATGCTACTGCTGGAGACTTCTGCTTCACTTGTAACCCCACTGTTTTCAACTCCAAATTCTTGGCCCTCCTCCACCTTGCTTTGATAGGCTTTTAGCTTTTAGTTGCAACTCATATGTGAACGCGGTGCATCATTCCGACACTGTCGACAAGCCCATGTCCAAGCAAGTGGCCAAGCCCAGTTCATCGGCTTCCATTTGAAGCCCGCGATCATCCTTCAGTTTGGCATGCCTCAATGTACGCACATTGCTGCAGTTAGGTCAACAGGCAGCACTTGCCCGACATCTGCTGCTTATCAAAAGCACGTCTTCAAGACTCGAACCCTGTGCACACTTTGCCATCCCCTTCAGGTGACACCGACAACACTTTCTCATTGCGCCTACCCGGTGACGATGCAGCTTCGAGCACCGACCAAGCGGGCTTTGGTATTGCTCTGAGTCGCCAAGCTCAAGCTGCTCTGGTTGATTGGATTCCAATCAGTAGTCGTATGTGTGCTGTCCGACTGGCTGGATGGTTCCAAGTTTCGAAGTCGCGCAGGATTAACAGGTGTCTATTCGTCATCGCTACCTGTGCACCCACAAAATATAGCGATGATTCCGTAGAATACGACTTCTACCGCCAAATGAACGAGGTCCTTCGTCACAAAAAGCTTGAGATATGAGCGCTTAAGTTGGAAAATTATTCACTGATGAACTGCATCTGGACGGCCAACATGGTGTAGGCCCTGTTAATGATAACCGTGAGCGATTAATTCATTTGTGTGAGAATGCTCGCTTATCTCTTGCGAGTACTAATTTCCGACACAGCACCCGCCAGATGGTAACTTGGCGCCTACCAGCCCCGAACCAGCTACGGACGCAAATCGATCACATTGCGATAAGTTACCGATGGAGAGGCTGCGTCCAGAGCTGTCGCTCGATTTGGAGCACATGTGTGGCCACTTGCATGTGCTGACATGCGGATCGTTTTGGTTGACGCTCACGACCATGCTGTAAGCGCATTGATACCAACTAACTGACAAAGCCAGCTGTTCTGAATGCCTATCAAGGTGCGCTGACTTGCGAGTTAAGTAAGCATTCACTGGAGACAATTGAAAGTCCCTGTTCTCATGTTCAGCAGACCTTACTAGCGGCAAGCAAACCCTCAAATGTTTAGTCTAAACGCCACCTATGATATTGGATCTCTACACATTCTCTCGAACTTATCGATGCTCGCCGACACATTCCGGCTGGAAGCAGCAAAATGAGACTTGCAGAAATCTCTGGGCGAAACTCCGTGCTAGCCTGAGGAGAGACCATGAATCCTGGTGATCTCAACGTGCATCAGAGTTGGCAATGGCCACTGCCCTTGGTAACCATCGTAAGTTATTGCGTCTTATGCAAGAATCGGGCAGCAGGAGACCTGCTCTCAGTGGAAATATTGGTGACGATTGTGGGCAACCTATCCACAATTTGTCAAGACGCTTGTAGCGTTTGGCTGAACACTTTAAAAGGCGATTCAATCGGTCGTAATTGTTAGGTTAATCGTCGGCCACTGATCGCTCCATTCGGTTGGTTGTCTGTTTGGATCCACCTCCTCACTCTGAAGTCGGACGTGAGATCGGAATGTTGTGGTTAAATAAAACCGCAGGACCAGATGATCTTCCTCCGGTTCTCTTCAATTTTAGATGACCTGCGCACGTTGATGACTTACGCGAGTTACTAGTGAGTGCGGTAGCAAGAAACTGTCCCAACCGACTGGGCCCCGGTACGTCATAGTCCCAATTTTCAGGTGTGTCTCACGATCGACATGAGACAACCACAGAGGAACCAGTCTGAACTCCATCACCTCAAAGTTGCTTGCCTCTGTCTTCCTTCACAGAATGTCTGGCGTTCTTGAAAGCCTGGTTCGTGAAGTGCAAGCTGGGTTTCGTGGAGTTCATAACTGCATTGACCACAAATTTACTTTGCGTCAGTTGTTGGAGCACCGTCACATATATTGGCGGCCCACTGTCGTCGTGTTCCTCGATATAAAGGTGCATTCGATTCGGTGGATAGACGTGCGCTTTGGGACTGTCTAGTCGGGAAATGTGTGCCCGAGAAATATTTAAATATTATTCCAGCATTATACGTGCTTATCTCGGACAGAGGGCTTAGGCGAGCTGTCGTCGTCCTTCAATATTTCCAGTGCTGCGGGTCAAGAATGCACGCTGTCACGTTTCCTGCTCAAATTGCCTATTAGTGAAGTCATGGAAGTTCTGTTCACAGGACACGTATTAGAAGGTGTGGATCTGCTCCCAAGTGAATGACTTCTTGATTTGGATTACGGTGATGACATTGCCCTAATCTGTGACAGTTCACAAACTTGCCAAAAGGCACTGGACAGATTAGTATTGGCTGTCCGTCACTTCAGGATTTGCTTCAGGCTCTCGAAGTTAAAAGCGTTCCCCCAAGATTGGATTGGACCATCTCCAACGCTGACACCTGGTGGGGATCAGCTAGAAGTCGTTCGAGTATTCAACTATCTGGGAAGTTGTATCAGCGCCCGTGGGATTGAAGATGAGATCAGGAATCATATAACAAAACTTCCAGGTGATTTCGATTACCTTACCACTTATGGCGTCGGCGCGACATCACTCTCGTCCTGAAGGGTAGAATGTACCATGCAGCGGTACGTTCGACCCTACTGTACGGTTGTGAAACCTAGACCCTTAGATTAACGGACATAAAGAGGCTATTTGCGTTTGACCACCGGTGCCTTCGCAATTTTTATCACATCTGGTGGGAACACCGAGTGAGCAAGGAGCGTGTTCGACGCCTGGTTAACGGCACAGGAAAAGGAAATGAACGGCTTAGCACCGTTATTTCACCCAGCACGCTCCGATGGCTCGTCTACATATTACACATGCCAGCCTACGGTCGCCCTCGACATGCGTTGTTTGTGCGCCGAAGGTGTGGATGGAAGTAGTAGAGAGACCGAGCGATGACTTGGTTGAGATTTAT